CCATGTCACGTACGGTCAGGTCACGTCAGGGGTCCCCCGTGAGGAGGACGATTACCCAGATAGGCGCGCATTTGTCGGGCTGAACGATTCGCCCAGTGGGTCGCAATGGGCGGACTCCGTGGTTCACCCGGCGGGTGAGCCTCACGATTCGTCCAACGTCATTTCGTCTTCTGAGGGCACGCGCCGAGAGGTGCGGTGTAGCTGGTTCGCAAAAGCGGAGGGTCCTTGTGACCATTGGATCTGTAGTGATCTGAGTCGTTGCTTGGACGTCGTTTCGTCTTTCGAGGGCGAGTGTCGAGTGGCGCATTATGGTTGGATGGTGGAAGCGGAGCTGCCTCAACCGTTGGATCCAGCGAGATCTAGGGCATCCGTTTTCCTTTAAATAGGGGCCTTAGTGGTGACTTTCCCCGTCATTTGAACTTAGGCGCTCTTGCTGTCGAGTGAACTCAGCTCCCAGGTTCTCAATTCACAATGTCTTTCTCAGACTCCAGCCCTGAGTGCCATGAACTCCCGAACACCTCGGGAGGGAGCTCTCCTCATACCCCATCCCCTCTCTCCTCGTTAGGTTCCTTGGCCATTGTCCCTCTTCAGCAGAAGATAGTTGTGCTGAGGGAAAGAGTAGCCTCTGAGGGCACCGAGGGATGCCATAGAGGCGATGACTCTCCCCGTGAAAGCGTCGCATTGGCGTCGCAGAGGGAGCCCGAAGGGTATCCTCAGGCCGAGGGGGAAGATGCTGCAGAGCTCACCATTGGACCGGTGGGAGGGAGCGCTGCCCGAAGGGTGGCTGATGTTGGTGTCCCACACTCGGAGTTTGATAGCTCCTTGGAGGTGGGCCAGGTCAAATCCTTGGCAAGGAGGTTCTACATACCTCGGTCCTACAATCTTAGGGTTCCTGACGTAGGTGATCGGCCGTGGACCCCTGACGAGGGGGGAATCTATATTTACTAGCATTTTTTAGAGTCTAGCCTTAGGTTTCCCCTCCCTCCTTTAGTCTTTGAGTTACTGGAGTGGTACGGTATCACTATCAATCAACTCGTCCCCAACGCCCTTAGGACCATAATAGCGATGTTGGTGTGGGCTCGTCTTCGGGATGTGGAGCTGACATCAAAAATGTTTCGTGCCATGTTCGCGCCGAGGAAGAACGCTTCTGAGGCCAACATGTACTACTTCCATCCTCGGAGAGGGAAGCCGGTGCACAACCCCTTGTCCGTCCATGGGTGGAAGGACAAATTTTTCTATGTCTCCTGCCCCGAAGGCTGGAGGTTCAGGTCTGAGTGGGGGAGGCCTGTATAGTTGTTGAGAAATGTCCCCCTCCGCTACGAGATGAGGAGGTCGTTGTCATGACTCATTTACTTGTGATGAGGACAGTCCAGGTGAAGCCATTGGTGGAGGAGGAGATTCCCCTAGTGTTTGCTGGGATTAGCCCTACCCCCTCGGTAGGAGAGGTTTTGTAGTTACTTTGCACGCCTTCCACGTCTTCGGCTAGTTGTGCTGACCATTTTCCTTTGTTGTTCGCAGAGATACCAATGGATGCCAAGCAGTGATTGCTTGAGAAGGCTCACGTGAATCTGGCTGGGAAGAAAGCAGGGGCATAGACGCCGAAGCGGCCCGGCGAAGTGGTTGCCCCCCTTGTTTCAGCGAAGCAGGGGCACAGACGCCGATGACCCGCAGTCCTCAGCTTCTACTGTAGTTAGAAGGGAGCATCTCTCCTCGGCCTCGACTTACCTTACTCTGAATCCTCAAAGCCTTCGGCTTGCCTTCGGAACTTGGGAGCGAATTTATCTCGTTGCCCTCGGCTAATCCGGGTAGCAACAATTTAATATGATGAATATATAACATTAGAAAAGTTTCCAAAGGTCTTAGACAAAATTCTATATTTTTACATTTTTGTGTTTTATCATTTTTTTAATTATTTATTACTCAATTATTGATACCATGGGTTCATTTAAAAAGTTGGATCATTAACCCACCATCTAGAAAGGAAAATAGCTTTACTTTTATATCAATTTTAAATTATATATTTCATCTACATTATATAAATAATTTTTACTTATTACACCTAATCTTTGTTTGATATAATTAATACATTAGAGATGTGTACAATTTTGTTATATTTTTTATATTCTTTTGATTATTTGTACTTTTTACTTTTTAAATATTTATTATTTAACTATGACATCGCCGGTTAATCAATTCCATCATTGATAAAATTAATTCTTATGTATAATACTTATTTTTTATCAATATAGTGAATGTATAATATTATATATGTACCTAATATTTTATTTTTATAAATATATAGCATTATATATTTGCCCAAATTTTTCTTTAGTTTCTTTTTTATTTTTGTGATTCTTTTTGTTTTCTATTTTTAAAAATTTTATTATTTGACTATAACATCATGTCATTTCTAGGTTGATTTTAGATTTGGCATTCCATTTTCATCATTAATAAAAACACTTCTTATACTTAATACTTACTTTGCTTAATATAATGAATATACAATATTAGAGATATGCCCAATTATTTTTGTTTTTTATATTTTATATTTTATTTATTTTAATTTTTTATTATTAAATTATGGCATTGTTGATTAACCCATTTAACCCCAAATGAATGAATTTCTTATCCACCATTGTGAGGGAAGAAAATAGTTATGTTTTCAAATTACTTTTCAAAATATTTTTATACTATTAAAATTAATGTTGTGGATTTAATTAGTAGAATTTAATGATGAGAAAAAATATATCTCAAATATAGGATTTAATGAGAGAATATAACTTGGATATAAGATTTAATGAAAGAGAATATGAAAATAGTTTTATTTCCAATTGGTTTTAAATTTTGCATTCCACTTCCATCATTAACAAAAAATATTTCCTATTTATCATAATAATTATTGTTTAATATGTTGAATATATAATATTAAAAATGTTCCTAAATTTTTCTATAATTTCTATATTTATTTTGCATTTTATCTATTTTTATTTATTTTTTATTATTTAATTGTGGCAACATGAGTAAGCCCATTTGACCCAAAACGGTTTGCTTTCTTACCACCACCTAAATGAAAGCACTATTTTTTTCATGTAGATTATAAAAGTATAAGTTTTTATGTTATTGAAATTATTAATTTATTATGTATGGATTTAATTAGTGGAATTTAGTGATGAGAATAAATAAAAATGCTTTAAATATATGATTCAATGAGGGTGAATGGGGTGAGTGGGAGTTAATACCTTTAAGTGTGTGATTTAATGAGGGAATTGGATGCATTGAATAATACTAATAGTATTCAATTTACAATTTTTACCCTTATAATAAAGGGGACATATTTTAAGAAAATGGAGTATTTTAGTCTAGAAAAATTCTAAAAAGTTTAGAGACTATTCGTACTTTTTATAATAGTATAGATATAAATATAGATCTCTTAGTTTTAAGTGTAGTTCATATGAAAATGGCTAATGGAACTGTTCAGATTTCAATCAACTGATTGCTTTGTGTTTGTCCCCTGCCTCTTTAAGGGGTCTAAGTCTAATCAATCTCCTATTAAAGGGTCGCCACTCGCCACATGGGTATGGGGCTGTATTTATAGTGTTTTAGACCTTTATTTTTTGAAATATTTTTATACTCTGTTGCTCATTTAATTAATGTACATTCCCTTAATTGCTATTGTAGAATATTCCTAAATGTTATAATCCCAACTTTTGAATTATTTGCTGCTTAAATAGATAATCAATCTGTATCGGTCTAGTCTGACTCGGGACTCGGGTCTATGCTAGGTCATCGCAATTTACATACTTATATAAATCAATCCACTGTCTCACACTTTGATTTTAGGGTCATGAAAGAAATAACCCTTGTATATGAGTATGGAGGACATATTTTCAGATTAAGAATGCCATAAAAACACTAGATGCCTGAAGGTTGCCATATCTCTTGGCATACATATATCCACACAAATTATAAAAGAAAAACAAATGCATACGATGGTGAAAATTGGGATTAGCTAATTACCAAGGATGTGTAGCAGGCATTGAAACCAATTCAAGTTTTCAACAACATACAAACTACACATCTTAATACTTTCGCTGGGCAAACATACATGCATTTTTCCATATTTAATTAACTTTGTCACAGGATTAAGGAACACCCGTCCAAGTTAATATTGATTGATTGCTTAAGATCATTGAGATGTGTACTTGAATATCATTCAAGAACGCATGACTTGAGACTAGAAGCTATATGTTTGTTTCAATATGTGAGCATTAGTGCTCCAAGAGAACCATTCAACATGGAATGCTTTGGAAAATGGAGACATAATTTTAAGTTATCATTTCTTTAAATAACAGGGTTCTTTGTTAATGTGGCGGATACCCATTTGCCCATTAGACCTAGATGGGAAAAAGGACTACATAGAATTAGAAATTGTTGATTGTCAACCAATTCAACCCAATGCTATGCATTCCTTCCTCTTTCGATGGCCAAATAGCTTTGCCTAAAAACCTCCTCTTTCCCTAATGTTGTAATGTGAGGTTTATCCAAAAACGTCCCTTCACTTTTACTGACAATGCTATCTCTCGACTCTTAGTTAATGAAGATATTTTTCTACCAAAAAGAGACTTTTACTGACAATGTTAAAACCTCCCTTCAAATAGCAAATGAACAATGTAATATCGTTTTTCTACACTTCATTTTATACAAAACGCCAACAATCTCAACTAACCATTAACAAACGAAGGAGCCAACTGACTCAGTTGGTAAGCTCTCTGACTCTGGCTGCTTGTAGCAGACTTGGGATCGGTACCAGCCTTCAACAAGCTTGGGGGGTTATGGGCCTTATGGCTATGGTGGCTATGGGCATTGCTTTAGTGCTCCCTGACAATGGAGATTCCAACCATCTTGAGTTATCTCGAGCTGCATTCCATACAAGCTCTTTACTCTGTAGTTGCGAATATATTTCTTCACTATATAATGGAAATCCAAATAAGCTACTAAAATTGAAAATTGAACAATCTATAATGTAGCTGAACATTGAACAAAGATTCAGTTGTATAACAAGCTTACATTCATATCCGAATAAATGAGAGAAAATAACGAAATTGGAAAAACAATACAGGATCAGTATTCAAAACAACTTCATCAGTCAAAGCCCCTAGAAAAATCAATAACGAAGTTCTGAGAGGCCCATCACACCGAAAGGAGACTGCATTTTCTCTTAGATTAAGAGCTTTTCAATGGCATCCTGCATTACCACAAATAAGTCATGAATATAAAGCATGGGCCTTTAATAAGAAATAAAATGGAAACGAATATAATGTAAAATTTAATGAGAATACCTTCAATTGCTGTATTTGGGATTTCAACTGGCTTCCCTCATTGCTTGTCACAGAGCAAGCAATGACAGGTCGTGTGACTCCACAAGCTCGTCCAAGGGCTTGTTTCGAAGGCACAAACACATAGGGCACATTCTGTGACGATCAGAAGTCAGTTTACTTGGTTATAACACATAGGGCACATTCATCAAACTTATTAAGTTATAACAAAGGGACTAAAAAAGAAAGTATCCACGTACACCAAAGCCATGTACAATGGGATTTACAAGCATTACTCATTAGTTACAAATTATGAACAAGTTATTTGGTTCTCCAAAACCACTGGACTTGGAATTATTTTATGGCCAACCAGGAATTGCAGAACAAACAAAAGATCCACCAAAATATACAAGAAAATTATTGAAATATTAAAAAGATAATAAATAAAAAAAGCACAGATTCAGTTATCTAGTATCTGATTTTACCAGAAAATCTTGTATGGGTTTCCAAGAACTAGTACGATGCATACTTTATAAAGGTTGGATATAATAAACAGGGATAAAAACTCTTCATTTCCTAAAATCTAAGTACCATTATTTAAATTTTGGATTTTTAAAATCAAGAATCTATACCAAGTTTTTGATCATGCAAAATTTGATTGAAATACAATTTGCTCCAAAATGCAATATTGCAATTATCAGCAATTGAGCAAAATTGAAAGTGCTTTAAGTAGCTATATTTTATCCACCAAATGGCACCTCCCAATCCCAACCTAGAGGGTTCAAGCCTGGAATTATTCAGAACTGGTGATGCACACCTTTTAGACTCTTGGCATTTCATTTTAATACATGTCCAGTTGTCCAATATTTTACCAACCCGTCCATCCCAGAACTGGTACTCTTCTTTTTCTTTTTATATTAACAACTATTGCTCTCATGTTAATTTTAACTTGTATTTTTTCTTATAGGGTCAATTTCACAACCCTATAACTATTTGGCTTCTGATTCTGACACGAGTCTCTGACAAATGAAACCTGTTTTGAAGCAGATACTCGTGCCAAGTCAGTCATTACTGAGTACACTAATGAACAGCACATGTACATTCTTGCATATGGTTTTACAAAGCATTTAATATTCTTTATTACATTTTGTCACAGTTATTTTGCTATCTGTGCATTTGGGGAGATTAAAGAATCCTTTGTATTCAGTAACTTATCTAACAGATGGAAGAAATGATGAGCCTTGATGACAACTGCGATGCAAGCCATCACAAAAATCAAAAGAAATGAGATTATATGATCAAGTCGCTAGTATTCCAAAGTTTTACATGCCAATATGATAAAGTAGATTTTAATAATACCTATATTATATCATGTATCTGATATTGTTAACTGAACTTGGTAGTAGCAACTTTCATAATCAATCATCAAGAAGATAAGAAAGGGTGAAAAATACATGTACTAAATTATAGCTTTGACATTTGAGTGACAATTACGATGTATGAAAAATATATGTTCTACCAAGGCTCAACAAATTATGCAATATCCACACCGGATATTTTTGGAAGCAAATCCTTTTCCATGACGAGGCATTCACAAAACAAAGACATGGGCTTTCTGCATTCATCCAAAAAGATAGAATCTTTGGCAAGATGTATTTAACATATCATCTTCCTGAAATAAACGAAGGAATCAAAACCACCCTGAACTTGACAAAAATTGAGAACCATCAAAAGTAAAATATCTCCATCCATTTCATTTTCTTGTTGTCAATCTTCTTAGCAATGATATATATTTCAAACAGTTTTTTTATCTTGAATGTTACTGTTGTCCAATCCTTTCCAACAGTTAAGTAAATTCTCTTCTCAGTTAATGGTATACCCATCCTTGAGAATAAACACAAAGTCAGTCTTTGTTGTCAGTTATAATCCTTTATTGACATTAGTTCTCTAATTTTGGACAGGGATTCCCATCTACTGCAAGAAATAAACAAGAAACAAGCCGTTCACATATCATACATCTAGAATACAATACTATAACAAACAATAACAATTCACCCCCACCCCCACTTCCAAGTTTTCTTTCCCACTCTGGTGGGCAAGGGATTGCGAAACTGGTACGTTAAATGGGTGAAAACATGTTTTGAACACAGGTCTGTGGGGTACCAGCATTCAAAGAACCATCAAGAGGAAAGAGAGGACCCTAATAATTTTATGATTCAGAGTAAAAGGTAATATATCCCGTCATTAGTAGTTTCAGAAGGTTAATGCATAATCATATTATATTATGAAACAATCAGACTGCTTTAGCTCATCGTCTATTCAAACGCAAATCAAACATCAACTGATTAAAGAAGAAACTAAAAAGAAACATATCGAAAAGAGAAGTTACCTTATCTTCCGCAAGCAAAGGAAGGTGTAGAAGGATTTCGAGCGGCTCTGTATCAGCGGCCATCACTATAAACTCCGAAACACCCCTGTTCAGCGTCTTCGTTGCTGAAACCAGAAGGAAGAAAGAGGGCCCATTACAACACTAAAAACACCCCAACAAACAAAGTAGAAGAAGTACGAATATAAAAAAGAATATACATTAACCTTCATTTGCACCCTTTTTGAGCTGCTTGTAGTTAGCAGCTTGCTGAATAAGGTCCAGTATTGTAATGGTGAGCTGCGCATCTGCAAGTGGGTATGCCTTTGGATTCACAGCTTCGGCAGTCTTGCATCAAACAAAAGAATAACACAAAACCAAGTAAGAACGAGACCAGTATCTGAGCCCAAGAACAATAAAAGAATATCCCAAAACACAAAGAACAGAACAGAGCAGGAATTCTAAATAGGGAGAGGGGAAGAGATACAGAGATACAGATAGAGGAGTTACCATTTTCTTTGATAGTAGAGTAAGCACCCGACAAAACTAGGGTTTTTGAGCAGCGAAAGGAAGCAACAGAAGGGTTTAAACTTTAAAGCGAGTGGAGGGTTGAAGAGAATTCGAGAGGCGACGGATTCTGCAGGAGCTGTTTGGTTACTATTATCTAGAATGGATTAATACCGTGACCAAACAGATCCCATTCTTGAAAACATTGGCTCCTGTCTCCTGAGTCCTGAGACTTGACTGACTCCCACAGTCCCTGTTGAAAAGTATGCGTAATCAAACGATTGAAAATCATCTGATCACGCTGATCTTTTTTCTGCCATATAGTTAGTGGGTCCTTCACTTAAATGTATTGAAAATATAGGGTCAATTACAAATAACACCTTGTACAAGGCTCAGTTTGAAAGGAGTATAAATATAAATACGTGAAGTGGTATCTGCATTCAATCGCTCTGTAAACATTTGAATGTAGTGTAAAACGTCATAGGGATAAAATGTTACTGTCAGTTCGATTTTGTCGGTGTTTGCATGGAGATGAGGTTTAGATCATAAATAAACGCAAAATGTCACTTATAGTAAGGTTTTACATCGATAATCACCTTTTTCGATGCTCCCCTTTTAATGGTTTAAAAAAATTCGAACGATTCCGTGTGGAAACTCCATCGACTGAATTTTACATCCATCAGGTTTACACTGCAAACAAATACTTACCCTTGAACTTTGTTTTGCAATAATGACTCTCTTAACTTCTTGATTCTAGCACTTTGCTCTTGTTGTTAGCATATTTTCAATGAACTTCATGTAATTCATTTTAAACGGGTGTTGATTTTTTAGATTTTGAGAGATGAGAAAGTTGGTAAATGTGATTTTGATTCCCATTAACCAAGATATTCATGTTTTTTTTTTTAATTTTATATGGGGTACATTTAAAAGTTGTCAACATTTGGGTGTGACAAGATACTAATTTCCCATGTGGGTTAGTTTACTTTCCCAATAGGGGGAAAGGTTGTCGACACTTAGATGGAACAAAATTGCCCCTTTTGGTAATATGTTTTTAGGGCTAAAACAGTGTTTATCTTATTTATCTTGGAAATAAAAGAATATGAGACTGTTTTATCTCTTTAACTTAATTTGTTTAAAATCCTAATTTCCATATATTTTTCTGAACTTTTTTTCAAGTTTATCTTGAAAATGATCAACTTATCAATGTTTTTGTGAACAATTGTATTATAGAATAGTTATTCTCATCATTTTGATTTTTGTTGCTATCACACCATAGGATTTCAAATAGGCACTTTGATAATTGGGTTCAACTATGATATGGGAAAGATATGATATCTGAAAAACTTCTCACCAGTTAATTGGAATCATAAGCGTGGTAGCCAATCAGGTGTTATTTATCAAAATTCATGGGTGGGTTTTGATTGGTCAAAATTCTTCCCATGCAATGTCTTTTTTGCACCATAGGTTTTCCCTTGATAATTTCATTTTTTATCAACTCCATTTAGCAGAGCCAGGACTAAGATGCAGGAATTTATAAATTAAGGGGGTGGGCCATTCCCCCGAAACAAAGTTGAGGGGGCTAAGTGTTATCACCCCCTAAGTACAATGTGGCTATCTACCATGGTGTTTTGATGCGTGGACGCTTTTTGGGACTGATTTTTAAGAAAAAACGCACATGCTTCCAAGACCTGTTTTTCACAAAAAAACGTTTCTGCCACGTAGGCAGTGAGCAATACTATGTTGTTTGGTAAGGCGATTTTCATCATCACTTTTCATGTATGTGCTCACATGTAAGCACCACATCAGTCAACCATTAGGGGAAATGGTTCACTGATGCATGAAACGCCAAATTTGACGTTTCATGCATCGGGGGGGTCCTGATTTTTGAGGCATGCCTAATTTTTTAATAATCGGCTGAACCAAACAATGAGATACATGGGCATTTGTTAAAACGCCTATGTGGATCTAACGTGGCACCATTTTTTTAAAAAACAGCCACGGTTCCAAACATCCCCTACATTTTATCCAAAAATATATTGAGAATTACTAATTTATTCCTTGTAGCTTATCAAATTCTTTTTGGATCCGTTTGGTTTGCAAGTATAAGGGTTCGAAATCAGATCCTAATTGGAATGGTCCAACTATTTGGTTGAATGGAATTGGAATCTCATTCTTATTCTGGTGGAATGGCATTCCCCCCACTTAAGGAAATGATCCTTTCCCTGGGAATGAGAATCCATTCCAGCCAATTGTGATTCCAATATGAACCAAATGGTGAGAGGAATAGACCATTCAATTTCCAAGGGATTCTAATTCCTATTCCAATTCAAATGTTAACTGTTAACAAAAGAGACCCTTATTTCTTTTTCCTTGACAACATACACAATATATCTAATGAGTAATGACTTGAGGAAAATGTATAAAAGGAAAAATTGTAGCACAAATTTAATAATAGAAAAACTGATTTTTTCTTGCAATTCTTTTTGGTAGCTTTTATTGCACCTCTTATCAAATGCCACAGTGTTTTTTTTTTTTTTTTGGAAACGTTGCTTCCAAATAGACGTTTCCAAGAGCAACAACAACACTTTCTGTTATCCATTATAGGAAGTCCATGTCAATGCTACATCATGTCCTTGTTGGCATCAACGAGTTGCAATTTGAGAAAATGTCAAATTCGGCATTATTCCAAACCACGCCTTCTCGATTTCCAAGACGTGGCTTGAAGCACCGTTTTTTATGGAAAAATAGTTTCAAACATATTGGTGTTAGCATTGATGCTAAAAGATGATCCGGCCTTTGATTCAACAAGAGAGAGAGAGAGAGGTTATGCTTTCTAATTATTTAGCGGTTGTTTGGCATCGTTGTCGTTTCTTGGAGCAACAATGCCACATCAGTGCTACGTAGGAAAAAACGGTGCTCCAAGAAACAGCTGTCTATTTGGAACCATTTTTTCATAAAAAACGGTGCTCTAAGCCATGCCTTGGAAATCGGGAAGGCATGGCTTGGAGCAACGCCAAATTTGGCGTTTCCTAGAGCTGCAGCTCGTTGCTGCCAATAGGACAGTGATGTGGCACTGGATAATGGGTAAAAGTGCAGAAAATGTTTCTTGAAGCATTGGTACCAAACAAAAAAACTTGTTGTTGCTCCAGGAAATGTCCTACCTGGCAGCAACGATTCCAAACAAAAAAAATTTGAACCCACACATCAGCAGCACCGTTTTTACAACTGCAGCATCGATGCCAAAAGTACACTTAAAAATTTAACTAGTTTTATTAATTAAGATAATCCATACGGACAAACAGAGAGAGGTTTGAATTAAAAAAAAAAAAAAAAGTGGATGAATGAGCTTCACTACACAGATGATGTTTGCAATAAACACAGTGACATCAAGCTCTCCCCGCCATTACAATGATGAAAATATTCCACGACTATAGCGAATTTGAGAACACTTTCTTAATTGGTGGGGAGATCTGAATATATAGCAATTGGACTTCTGACCCTATGAATTCCGTCAGACCAAACCAATGATCCAAACACTGCAGGATGTTTTAATGATAGCTCACCTACACTGACAGTCACAACAAAAGACTTCTTCTCGTTCAATGCCTTAAACGACAGAACACTGGGTTCGACGCTGATTTTCATCTCAGGACCTGAAGAAGTTACTTTCGCCTTGTATGTGGAGTTTGGGAAGCCAACGTTGGTAACAGTCCGCGTAAAGTTAGTCTTGAATGGCTTCAAGTCTGGAACATAACGTCCCATTGAAGGGTAATTGAGATCCTTAGCTTCGCCTGTCCTCGCCTTGGGGCAACTGCTGTTGTCACCTGATATAAGCCTAACCTTCCTCGAATCGTAGCCCATATTGCACAGCATTTCTATGTAGTTTTCTTTATGGGCATCATAAACCAAACCAGGGTTCTTAGCTTTCACTGGATCAATATGGCCAGAACCATAAGCAAATACAGTGTCTTCATTTTTAACAGCACTCATACGCCGAGCTATACAAATAAGGAAATTTTGCGTGTGTATGTGTTAGAATTAAGTTTTAACATATATAATACATGAAGAAGCTCAGAATGAAATTAAAAGCTATATATGTTTGATTATCAAACTTAGAGAGAGAGAGAGAGAGAGAGAGAATGGGTACCAGTAGTCATAAGAGCAGATTTAAGGGCAGCAGGCGACCAATCAGGGTGGAAGCTTTTGACATAAGCAGCTGAACCAGTAACGTGTGGGCAAGCCATGGAGGTCCCAGACAATATGCTATACTCCACTGATCTTGTATCCCCATCATCATTAGATGGTGAAGCAATAGGCGAAAATGCTGCCAAAATATTTACTCCTGGGGCACTTATATCTGGCTGCAATATATTTTCCCAGGAGATCGATCGAAATTAATAGAACTGAAGACAGAGAGTGGAGAAGTGAGAGAGGGAGAGAAGAAACAATAAAATATACAAATAAAGATGAACCTTAATAATGTCTGGTATGATTACGCTTGGTCCACGAGATGAAAATGAAGCTACTACAGGAGCACTTGAATCGTGAATTGCTTCACTTTTCAAAATCTTTGCCTGAGGATTTCTGAGGATAAAACATAAAAAGTGATTGTTTGGAGTTTGGACAAGCATATTATAAGTACAATCTCAAAGATGAATTGAAAGCATTACAATGGCTTTAGTTTAATTAATTTGATTAAATTACATTAACTCCATTATTCAATTTTATTGTGAAGTTTGATGGTGATTTTGCTCTGACTTAATGACATCAAATTCAAACACAATTTTGTTCTGAAAGAGTAGTTCGCAGTTAAATTAAAAATAAGAAAAGATAAAAATATAGATGAATTGAGCTAGGGTGGCTTACCTTGTGGAATTCAGATAAAGCTTGAGCTTCTCCCCATTCTCGGAGGATAACAGTACTGCAGGAAGAGGATAAGTTAAAGCAACATCATTGAATACTCTATCTATCATGAGTACCCCAAGAGCACCGGCTCGCATAGGTTCCGCTCCTAATGAGACCTTATCACATAGCACAATCTTCCCCTTTACCAAACGCCTATCTAAACAACCATAACTGCAACGTCTGAAATGAAGCAAAACAATATCTTAGCTAGTTTCAATTAAGTAGTCTTTCTCTGAAAGAAACTTGAAATTAATTCTATCAATTTAATCCGGCCACAGATGAAATATACCGAACACTAGTAAAATCACATAGCGTTGAAGCAGTTGTGCCATACACAAGATCAACTTTACTTCTTCTTCTTGAACCAAATGAATTAACAGATCTACCCTGAACCCATTAAACCAAATGTAAGTTTGGAATTCTTGAAATAACTGATGATGACTTACAGTACTAATTGATTAAAGAAAAAACGTGATTGGTATATATGCTTAATTAATTACCACAAGCTGTGTACCATCCCCTAAAACAAGTCTGTCAATAATTTGACGGTCTATACTACTGGCTGCTACAGAAAACATCCATGGTGCAACACTTGAAGTTGACCCTCTCTCTGGACCAAAATTCCCAGCAGAACTGGAGGTTAGGATGCCTTTGGCCATGGCATGAAATGTACCAATAGCAAGGGAATCTGCAGATAACTCAGCTGCTGCACTATGTCCCAATGAAAGGGAGATTATATCTACACCATCAGCAATGGCATCGTCAAAGGCAGAGAGGATATCTTCTTCAACACAACCTATATAGCTGCAGACCTTGTACACAGCAATTCTAGCTGATGGCACTCCTCCCCTTGCATTTCCTCGAGCCATTCCATAAAAGCTCACACCCACCACTCTGTTCCCTGCTGCTGTTGAGGCTGTGTGTGTGCCATGTCCTTCCCTGTCCCTTGCAGTTTCCTCAATCTCAGTGTAAACTCGAGCGCCGATCAGCTTACTGCAATAATAATTACATTAATTAATACATTATATTCCAGATTGCTGACACGTACACTGTGAATGCATGCATGAAAGACATGATCAATGTTAATTTGACATCTCAAGATATATAAATAAATAAATGAAGAGAACATTTGCCTTCAACCTATACTCAGTATTCAATTCCTATATAAATACTAATTAACACAACAAATTTAATCTCGTTAGAAGAACCATTATATTAGGCCAGCCAGCCATGGTCCATGGAGTGAAGAAAATTACTTGTTGCAGGTGAAATTGGTGCCACCATTACAAGTACCCTTCCATTTCTTGGGAGGAGGGCCGAATCCTTTGTCACTGAAACTTTCAGACTCCGGCCAGATTCCGGTGTCAAACACACCAACTATCACATCACTCTCAGCATTCAGTTGTCTTTTCGTTGCCGCAGTTAAACCCATGAAATTCCAGGATCTCGTTGTATGAAGCTGGAGGGTTCTACTTGGAAACACCGATACAACACCATCCATGCCTGATGAGAAAGACTTAATAATATATAGTAATTTATATAGATGAGAAGAAATCAAATTTTCTTTTAATTAGCTAGCTAGGCGTAAATTAAATTAATAAAGGAAATAAAGGGTCTTGCATTACTAACGGGCAAGTTTTTGTCTCTCGCGCTCGTTTAGCTTGGCTGCAAACCCATTAAAACTTCTCTTATAGCTGCGTACGAGGGACTCAGTCGCCGAGCTTCAAAGGAAAAATATATAATAGTCCATTAATTGATCAGAAGCACGAACAGCAATTATCAGAGCAGAGCCATAAAGTTGAAGCAAGAATTAATAATACACAGCCACTGGATGTATAATACAGACCTTCCCTCAAGAACTTGTTGCAGAATGCTAAGATGCTGAGATGAAGGTGAATATCCATCCTGATCAGGATTAAGGGCGCCCATGTACACAATGTGAACCTAAACCATTATCATCATCGGCATCATCACCATGATATTAATTATATATATACAGCCACAATATTAATTATATATTGATCAATTGTTAGACGGACCAAAATAATATATATATATATTCTTTTAACTTTGCATGCATGCATGCATGAACCAAGAGAAATCCATGTATTATATATTGGAAGGTCTATGTTCTGGAATCTGAACAATATCATCAGCCATTCATCGCCAACTGAAGAAGCTAAATGGCCCATCAACATAACTAGAGAATCCATATTAGCTGCTATTCATACAGATCTATATACTCAGCATAGAATATAGCACCAGATTAACAAAAGATTAATATCGATCTAAACGCACGTAGTAGCTATATAAAAAGCGAAGATGCATGACTTGCCTTTCTATCTTCCTCATCAGTAGCATTAACGACGATGGCCATGAAAACTACTAGAATAATGTGAGAAAACGAGAGAGACTTCAAGGTAGCCATTCTTGGATGCTGATGGCTGATGAGTGAAGATGATCAGGATTCAGGAGGCCTACATTTATATGGCCGGGGCGGGAGAGATACCAAATCAAGAAACTACTCAATAATATTATATATTTACTAGAATTCTATCCAAGCACTGAGCACTTATAGAAATACAACTAATTAATCTATTACTAAAACTGAAACCATTTACAGCAAGGTAATTTGAATTTTGATTTCATTTCACACTCCACACTCCGCAGAAATGAAAACCCAAAAATGTGGGAATATCAATAATTAATTATATTAAACAAAGATGATCCAGTCAGCGGTTCAGTTTGGACTTCAAAATGATGCATTCGATAATGGGTTAGCATTTTAATTACTGCAAAATTAACCAATCCATTAATTAGGCAAAAGTATCAAACGGGGGCAATTTCTTGGGTACATACGTACAGTACACGGAAATTTTAGAACCAATACATGGATTAAGACTTATTAATGATGCTTAGAAAACAAACGTTGCTGGAAAACAACCATTCTCTCAACTTCTTTCAAGTTTCAAATAACATCAAGTCTCTTGTCTATTTGTCTAAAGTCTCCTCTCTAATTTCTCAATTCTAACTAATTGGGTTCAATCTCACTTAATTAAGGTTGTGTTTGGTTTGAAAGAACAGGTAGGGAAAGGTAGCGAAACCTGATCTTATTCCTTTAATTTATTATATAAAAACAAATTTTTTAAAGAGCCCATAGGGTTATTTATAACAAATCCTTTAAGGCTCAGTTTGGAAGGAATACAAATGCAAATATGTACAATACAAATACATACAAAATAATTTAATATATAACTACTAAATTAGTACTAATACAAAATATAAAGTTTTGCACTCTACATATTTGCATTTGTACTCCTTCCAAACTGAGCCTAAAGGAAAACCACTGAAATGTTTAACAATTAAATAAGTGCATTATTTTAATGGCTTATAATTATATAATTAATAATTTAATATATAACTACTAAATTAGTAATAGTATTATATCGAATAATATTGCATTTATTAAGTTATTTTTGGTAATTTATTTAGCCGTTAATTAATACATTGATAATAATTTTTGTTATGCATTAATATTACCAAACAAGGAATGACACTCACCTAATTAATACTCTCATATATTTACTATTATGTTTCTGGACTATTTTACCATTATTATTTACCTCCCAGCTTTATTTCATAAAAAATTAGAAATTTTAATTCCCATGTATATATAGGATCAATAAACAAGTAGCCTAATATATCTAAAATTAGAACTGCATTTAAAATAGTAATTAGCAATATAACTGAATATCTACAATTATTAAAATATTAATTAATTTTTAGGATAAATTACAGTACTTTGGGGGTAGTGACACATGTCTGCCCCAAACTTTTTTTTTATATATATAGAGGAGAAAAATAAGGAAAATCTAAAAAGACGACCTTCGTTCAGTAAAATGACCCTAAGTATCAAAGAAACAAATAAAGTTGCAATAAATAACCACTTAAACTTTTGGATTTCACGCTTTGCCCCTGACGTTAGCATTCTGTTTAGCTTCATAAAATATTTTGTTAAATATTTCTAAAACCCAAATTACCCTTATGAAAATTTATGAGACCATTTTGCCTTTTAATTTAGTTTTTTTTTTTTAAATCCTATCTTTCACATGTTTCTCTCAATTTTCTATAGACAATGTTGATCTTGAGACTGCCATGATTCCGATTCATCAATGCCTTTAGAACAATTTGTATTTTTTATCTTCTTTTTTCGTTGAAACAATTTATTCTTTAAAATAGTTGTTTTTCCCATAGAATTTTGAATGAATAATTTAGTAATTTTACTTTCACTATCAACCCTTTAATAAGTCATGGAAAAAATTGTCGACACCTAAAAATTAGAGGGGTGGTCTGTGTAAAATTGGGATTAGCTGAATGTGATAGCCAGCTGTGGAAATGCCTCACACTAACCATATGCTAAGGGGCGGTTTCATGATGCTCAACTTAAAAGTCTATTGCTTTGTCTTTTAATGAATAAATTTTTAAGAGGATTATGGGTTCTTTAACGGTTGAAACTTAAATTGGGAAGATCACTATACCCTTGAAAATTTTGTTATTTAATTATTATTTTGATAACTAAAAGATAAAACAATAATTCTTTCAGTTCAACAACTTCAGCCGTTATAGGAGTGAGTGATTATGGGCCATATGCATTAATAAGTAGTGTGCGGCGTTATCATTGGTTCAACATCCCACTACACAGCCATTGCATTTAGTAGGGATGATAACGGGCGGGTTTGGAGAAGGTTTTGTAAATTCTAGACCCTATTCGCCTCCCTAAACCTCTCAACTCGTACCCACCCTAAAACCTGTAATGGATTGGATTTTGAGAATCCAAACCCTCCCCACACATGAAAGTGCAAAACTCTCCCTAACCCCACTCTCCCCGCATTCAAGGGTAGGGGCAGGTTGGGTTTGAAACCTGCATCTAATTTCCTATTATTTCTTATGATATATAAGCAATAAATAAGTAAAATAACACAAATAAACATCAAGTTTTCTACTTATTTCATAAAGACATGTAAAAAACACATAAACTAGCAATTATCCTTCACATAAAATTAAATATTATTAAATTCAACACATAGTACATAAAGTTTATATGCTTTCTAACAATATGCGGGTCAGGGAGGGTTAGGTTTAGCCTAATACCGTACCCTACTCATACCCATACAGGTTGTAGAATGCCAAAACTCGTGCTCGCCCCAAAACCCATCATTTAAGCAAAAAAAAAACTGGCCCGTTGAGGAGTATAGGGGCGGTTACCCACCAGGTAGGGTAGAAAATGTCATCCCTACATTCAGCTAATATGATCTCATATTTATGTTGTTTGATTAGATATTTTATTTATGGTAAAAATAAAATTTTGTTTTCATGTTTATGAGGCAATGCTACCTTTAAAACTTTGCTGTTGAAGTCTCTTTTTGTTTTTATTAAATGATGTTTAAAGAAAATAAAGGACTTTTTTTTTCTTTCAAAATTTCCTATGTTTTTGAGCATTGAGTATTTTCTTCTTTTTTTTTTTCTTTCACTTCAGTCATTTCACATAGCATGACCACTTTACCATAAAACTAGTGAAGGGAGCCCTACGTTGTAGGGTTCCGCTCATAAACTATCAGGCTTGAGCTTGATTCGAATTAGAATCTTGAGCTCGAGCTCGAACTCGGCTCGAATCAAAAGCTTAAAAGTTCGAGCTCGACTACCTATGATTGCAAGTCTCTCAAGCAGCCAAGGTCCCCCTCAATTGTCAAGGTGCTAAATCGAGGTCTCCCTCAGCTACTGAAGTGTCAAGTTGAGGTTCCCCTACCAGGCAAGGTGTCGAGCTAAGGTCTCCCTTAGTTGACAAGGTGTTGAGTTGAGGTCTCCCTCAGTTGTCGAGGTGCTGAGCCGAGATCTCCCTCAATGACTGAGGTGCGGAGCCGAGGTCTCCCTTAGTAGTTGAAGTGTTGTCTAGCTCAAGCTCGATTCGATTTAGAGACTTGAGCTCGAGCTCAAGCTCGGCTTGAGTCAAAAGCTCAGAAGTTTGAGTTCGGCTACCTTCGACTACACGTCTCTTAAACAGTCGAGGTGCCAAGCCGAGGTCTCCCTCAATTGCCGAGGTGCCAAATTGAGGTCTCCCTCAACTGCCGAAGTGTCGAGTTGAGGTTTTCCTAGCAGGCAAGGTATCGAGCTAAGGTCTCCCTTAGTTGACAAGGTGCCAAACTGAGGTTTCCCTCAATTGTCGAGGTGCTGAGTCGAGATCTTCCTCAGTGACCAAGGTGCCAAGTCGAGGTCTCCCTCAGTGGTCGAGGTGTCGTCTAGCTCGATCTCGATTCGAATTAGAGACTTGAGCTTGAGCTCAAAAGTTTGAGTTCGGCTTGGCTCGAACTCGACTACCTTTGTATGCAAGTCCCTTAGCAGCCGAGATGCCGAGCTAAGGTCTCCCTCAGTTGGAAAGAGAGTGACATTCATGTAAATTATAAGGAGAGAGAGATGGCATTCTTGTAATTTGTAAGAAAGATTGAGAGAGAAAGAGAGAGAGAGAGAGAGAGAGATGATAGGAAAGAGTGGCATTCTTGTAATTTAAAAGAAAAAAAAACAAGAGAGAGAGAGAGAGAAAGAGTTGGTAGGAGAGAGTAGCATTCTTATAAATTGAAAGAAAAAAGCAGAAGAGAGAGAGAGTTGGTAGAGAGTGGAATTCTTGTAATTTCTATGAAAAATAGGCCAAAAACACTGTTAGATTCCATTTGTCTCTTCCTTAGACCTTCTTACATACACATTTCARCTTAATATATTTATATAGATGCTATTTTTTCTACCTTTTTTTATAGAATTTCATAGCTAAAAATTAAAATTAAGGGGGTTTTCGAAGACAATACATTTGTTTTTGTTTTCAAAAATAAAACCAATCATTTTATCAAACACCCTCTAAATCATTCTATTTAAATTCACACCCATATGTGAGTAGTCTGTAGTCGTAGCACCCAATATAATGGGTTTAACCTAGGCCATAGCCTAGCCTAGTTTACACCCCATGCTTGAAATCGCGGTTGTAGCAATTTATTTTTTACCCAAAAAATAGTAGTTTATGTAAAATTGAAAATGCAATTGATGTACTTTTACATTGATTCATTGTGGATATGAAGGTGTGAGAGCTCACAATCTAAATCTATATCTATACTATATATAAAAGTGTGGATATAAAGTGAAGGTTTTTTTTTTTGGGACTAAAATTACCCCCTATTTCTTTGTTTGAGAAAATGTATAAAAATCATTTTATTATAATTTTAATGTTAACTTTAATAGCTACTACAATGCCCATATTTAAGGGTTAGAAATGCAACTTAAATTATTACTTTCCACCATATTTAATTAAATGCTACTAATTAGATCCATGTCAATATTTAACAATATAAGCCCATATATTTTAAAAATGACTAAAAAACAAAA